GGAGAAAAGCGGGGGAAGGAGGGGGAGGAGAAGCAGGAGCAGGAGAAGGGTGACGATTAACTGAATGGAAATACATATGAGAATGGAAAGCAAACGGATCGATGACAAAGGGGAAAAGCGGGGAAAGGAGGCGAAGGACGAGGAGCAGGAGCAGGAGAATGAGCAGAAGGAGAAGGGTGACGATGAAATGGATTTAGAAACGGCGAATGTGAAACAGATCCGAAGTGATAGTGAAACAGAGGGGGAGCAGGTTAATCGTCAGACGAGGGAAGAGGGGGGGAGGAGCGGCAGTGAGCGCGCGAGTAGGTAGAGAAGGAATTGTCGAAAGGCGAGGCGAAGAAGGATTTCGGGGGAGTCAGTAATGCAATTGGAAAAAAGAGAAATCTCAGATCGCAGAAACCGCGCCTGAAGATCATCAGCGGGGTGACGTGATGAGAGACCGCAAGAAGTGAAGTATGAAGGATGAGGAGGTAGTAAGAAGGATGAGGAGGACGAGAAGAAAAGGCAGAAGAAAGAAGCCGCAGAGTCAAGGGGTAACAGTGAGGTATAGAGCAATTACGGAAGGGGTAACTTGAGAAAGGCCGCAGAGTCAAGGGGTAACAGGAGTCATGGTAGTAAGAAGGATGAGGAGGACGAGAAGAAAAGGCAGAAGAAAGAGGCCGAAGAAGAAGAAGAAGAAGAAGAAGAAGAAGAAGAAGAAGAAGTAGAAGAAGAAGAAGAGGAGGAAGAGGAGGAGGAGGAGGAGGAGGAGGAGGAGGAGGAGGAGGAGAGCAAGGGCAGCTGCGTGTGGGAAGGAGGAGGAGAGGACGAAGGCAGCTGCAGCGGAGGGGGGTTGGAAGAAGAAGAAGAGGAGGAGGAGGAGGAGGAGGAGGAAGAAGAAGAAGAAGAAGAAACTGCGGGAGGAAGGTTAAGAAGAGGAGGAAGAGCAGCTGCAGCAGCGCGGAGAGGAGGAGGAGGAGGAGGAGAAGAAGAGGAAGAGAAAGAAGAAGCAGCGGGAGGAGGAGGAAGGAGGAGAAGGAGGAGAGGAAGGGTAGCTGCGTCAGCGGGGGAGGAGGAAGAGTAAGAGGAGGAGGAAGACGACGACAACGACGAGGAGGAGGAGAAGGACTCGGCGTGCGAAAATTGATGTGGTGATGGAAAACTGTGTCGAAGTGTACTGGCGCGCGAATTGTGCTGCATCATCCTCAGTGACTAGCAGATCGACAAGGATTGAGAGGAGTATAGGGAGATAAAAGTCAAAGAAATCAGGGGCCGGAGAATAATCGGAAAGCAGAACGGATCCCGAGTTGGTTGAATGAGAGAGCATAGAGAATGTGATGATGATTGATGATTTGTGACGAGGAGTAAGAAGAAGAAAGGAGGACGAGGAGGAGAGTTATGTCAGATGTTGGAGAAAGCATAGAGAGATGTTGTGACGTGTAACAACAAAAGACGAGGACGAGGAGGAAGAGAGAACGACTTTCAAAGGCCAATGTGCTGCCATGCCAGGTCTTAGGGGAAGGGTATGAACGATTGAGGAAAGTTGGCGAAAGGTGAGAGACGGGTCTCGAAAGAGGAGCTGGAGGTTGAGTTGGAGGAAGGGGGATCATCATCATCATCATCATCATCAACAGCAGCAGGGAGGAGGAGGAGGAGGAGGAGGAGGAGGAGGAGGAGGAGGAGAAGAAGAAGAAGAAGAAGAAGAAGAAGACGGAAATGAAGAAGAAGACCGCATTAATAACATTATTCAAGGCATTTCATGTATCGCAGCATTCATAGAGAGGATGTTTGGTTTGAGAGGAAGGGCATGAACGCTGGTGAAAGTCGGTGAAATGGGATGGGCAAGAGTTTGGAAGAGGAGGACGAGGAGGGCTAAGCAGCAGCAGCAGCAGCAGAAGAAGAAGAAGATTACCAAATGAAGAGTTCCACATGAAGAAAGCTCTGTGCGATGTGTTACATGTCACAACTTATATAGAGAGCCCATTGCATCGGCCGTACAACCCGTTCATTGCCTCGGCCGTACTGCCCGTTCATTGCCCTTCGGGCGTCGTTGCTAAGAAGAAGAAGAAGAAGAAGAAGAAGAATTGCATTCTCACTCCAGACAACAATCTGTCTGTCCGCACCGATCCAAGGATCGAACACGCGACCTCCACGTTCAGAGGCAAACACTCAACCAAACGGCTAAGTGGACTGGGGTGAAAGTTAAGCCCCAAGAAGAAGAAGAAGAAGAAGGAGGAGGAGGTTGGAGGGTGCAGGGCAGCAGATGCAGCATGAGGAAGCAGAGGCATGGATAAGAGCATATCTGCAGGGAATATTCTGGCACAGGAAGCAAAAGAAGTCAAACAGTCTGCTATACCCAACCCATGTGGCTGAATGCTACACCCTTCAACTGTTGAAACAAACCTGAGTTCAAATCCTGCGTAGATCAGGCAAGTAAATAACTTCGAAATACGTGAAGCCGGTCAGTTCGATGGTGATATCTGAAGGGCGTCTCCCTCTTGGGGGAAAAAATAAAAATGATTACGTTCTTCTCTGCTGAGCACTCAAAGCGATTCCAGTTCTACTATGATGATCAGTCAGAGCGATTCCGTGCTTCTGCGTTGGTGGCGCTTGTATGCAGTAGCGTGGGAGGCTTGTGCTTTTCGAAGCTATTATATATAATGTCTGCTGTTATGCATACGGATCGCTTACTCGTTGGAGTATTTGATGGCTTCTTCCGGTCTGCTGATTGGATGACACCTGTGCGGTGGTTGATTGGAAGGCATTCTTGCAGTCGCTCGCTCGATAGGATGTGACTGTGCCGCTATGAGTCTAATCTTCAGTTGCTATGTAAGTTTTCAACAAACATAACTAAACATTGTAATTCGATTGCTGACTCACAAGTTTATTTGTTTTTGTATCTATTTGATTCCGTGAGGATTGAGCTCATGATCAGTTCATTGTTGACAGTGACATTTGTGTACCCTTCAACCACACAGGCTCCTATCCTGCAGAGAGAGCAACCATTTATTTGATTGTAATTTGGGTTTGAACAATGGTTGCGATTTTTTACTGTGGGTTTAAACAGTAGTTGCGATGTTTTACTGCAATGCAGATCTCCCAGCTATCATCACTCTCGACTGTAGAAAAAAACCACCCACGTTGTGGTGGAGATTGAGTAGTGACCTCTTGTATGTCAGCCATCTGTTTGTTAAACTCCAGTTATTGATGATGGTTGTCATTGTAGTGCTATCTGGCCCCCTCACACACTCAGACACACACACACAGTCATGCTTTTTCTGTGGAGTTGTGTATAGCGAACATGACAAGACACACCCACACACATTCTTTTTGCTGTTGGGATGGCCCATCTCGAGTGTGTTGCATTGCTTGTGTAAAGGTGAGATTCCTTGTCTGATTAAAGGTAAGGTTCTGAATAGATATTGACTTCACAAGCAAAACTGTCTCATTGGTGGATTGGCTCATCTCGAGCATGCTTCATTGTCTGCAATATAGGTAAAGTTGCTCTGACTTTGGATCTACTCATCTGGGCGGAATAGAGGAAGTTGTGGTGATAATTTGTAACACACACACACACACACACACACAGAAGGTTGGTGTGAGTAAAGTCGACCACTTTTCTCTCTGAGGGGTGGGTATCGCTAACTCTGGGCGATGTGGTGAGTCCTTATCCATCAGTCAAATGCATTGTGGGCAGACTGTTGGGGTTCAACCTCCTGATGAGTCGGTGAAAGTCCGACGAAACAGTCTGGTACACACAGAGGGACACACACACAGAGGGACAATAAATGGGGAGCTGCAAGAGGAAATGGAAGAGAAAACCCAAGGAAAACCGAAGTAAGGAAAGGACTGCACGAGGAAAAGGCGATGTAATGGTTTTAGTGTGCTTCATGTCGTTTGATATAGAGGTAAAGCTGTTTAAAGCTGTTTCAATTTTGGATCTGCTCATCTGGGTGGAAAAGGGGTTGTTGTGGTGACTGTGTACGACACTTGCACACTCACATACACTCACATACACTCACATACACTCACATACACACACGTACACACATACTTACACATACACACATACAGACACTCATACACACGCACATACACACACATACAAACACACACACAATCCAGTTATTGATGATGACTATCATATTAGTGCCTTGCCAGATTTGGTAGAGTTTCCAGATTAGCCCACACAGGTCTATATGCTTATTTGTATGCAGTCCAAAGCGGTTCAACCGGGTTCATGGTTGGTGATTGAACTGTTATCCCATCGTTTACAGGTAGTAGCAAGGTAGTAGTAGGAGACTCCAAGAGCGAGAGAAGAACGTGCCCAGTTCAAGATAGAAAGAGAACTGGATATGCGTTGGAAGCCTGACAACCAAATCCCTTATGTGCCCCTTTTTCTCTCCGCCTCACTCAGGGCCCCTCTACGCATATGTTCAACTGCCAGCTTACTCACCACATCCAGAAGGACACGGCGGTGTATTACAGTGCTGCAGGTTGGCTGGGTGCACTGCTGGATGGAGGTTCGAACGCGGTTCAGTTGGCACCGCTCTCAACATTCGGGAGCCAAGAGAAATATGGGCCTGGCTCCACTACTCAACATTCTACTGTATCTGGTATGGAATGTGGATCAGTTGTGTTCGGACTGGTCCAACATTTTCACTTGTGCAGTCGAGTGAGGCCCTATGGCCATCGGTCTGGAGGTTTATGGTGGTGAAAGAAACAAGTTGAGAGAGAGAGAGAGAGAGAGAGAGAGAGAGAGAGAGAGAGAGAGAGAGAGAGAGAGAGAGAGAGAGAGAGAGAGAGAGAGAGAGAAACTGGGTGTGACTTTTGGGAGGCCAAGTCCCAAGTCCCACTACCGTCTTCCTATGAATACAACTCACCCTCATTATTGATTGTAGACCGGAAAGATAGCTTGTATTCATTGATCATTAGGGTGCCTTGTGTTTGGTGCATAAAGGTAGCCAGATCAATGGAGTACTTTTAGAGCATTAAAAAAAAAAAAAGTTTTAGGAAAAAATTTCAACGTGGCCACAGTATAGGCGTGAGATTTTCAGATTGGGCGGCCCTGAACAGCCAATGGTTGAAAACTACTCGATCCAGCCACTGGTTGGCCTGGGCCCTTGGTGCATGCTGTTGAAAGAGACAAAGTGTGGGTGCCTCTTTGCCCTAGTGGGCCATGATGCCCCTAGCCTTGACTGGAAACCTGCGTCAGTTTTTCTTTTTGATATTTTTTAACGGCGTTTGGCCGTTTGGGTGCACTGATGTTTTAATTTCTGATCGAGGACCGGACTGCACTGGTGCTATGTTCATGCCTTAGAAAGCACACATCCAGGTTTACACCACCGGTATGTTTCCCAGTATTTTGTTCAGACGTGGTGCCACATCCTCAGGGGCTCGGCCTATGAGACAGGAAGGGCTGGGATCAGGAGGCAAATTGCGTGCTGTGCCGGCTTGGCTAAGTTCATGCTTAGCAAGCACAATCCAGGTTTTAAACCACCAGTGTGTTGCCCATCTATTTGTTCAGATGAGGGAGTCGACACGCCTCGTCCTCATGGACTTGGCCTATGGATGGGAAAGGCTGACGTCGCCAGGCAAATGGTGTGCGCCGTGCGTACTTGGCAGGACTTGGTGTGTGTGGCGAAAATCCATGTTGGGAAAAAGAGGCTCCGACAAACTGGGGATTTGAGTCGCTGCCACTGCCTGCAGGCCTTGTGTTGGCCTCCATTGGGTACTAGCATTTTGAATGAGTTGGGCCAGATACATACAGGCGGAAGAATGAACCGAAGCGCAGCCCTTTTGTGCATCTCATGCATAGAAAGCATAATCCTTGTCTCATACTGGCTGGCACTGCTTGGAGGCCTTCTGCAGGCGCCCACCAGATGGGTACTGTTGAGAAGGGTGAATCTGAAGGGAAGGGTGGCCCTTTGGTGCGCCTCATGCTTAGAAACTTGTAAAGCATAATCCTTGTATCATACCAACTGCCAGTCTGCCATTGCTTGGAGGCCTTCTGCAGGGGCTGCCACCAGGTGGGTAGCGTAGTGAATGAATCGAACCTAGTGCAGCTGGGGGGAGTACATTGGAAGGCTGACCTCCTTGTGCACCAGCGCATTTGTTTCCAGGCAGAGGTTTGTGCTTTGTGACCACAAACATTGCACTTTGTGGTTCATAATTGGCCAGGTTTGTGTTTTTGCTTTGAGCGCAAACGTGGCACCAGTGGGGCCTGGCCCTTTAGGCCACGATAAACTGGCAATAAACTGTCCTAGCTCCTAGCCCTTGTCCATTCAAGTCCTCTTTGACATGATTGTGGTTGGCCACAGTCTTCCCCCGAATAAAACACATGCTCATTATTATTGTCTAGACTAAAAGTTGCCCCAAATACAGCTAGACAATGACCATATGTGCGAGAGACTGCCCTTGCTCCTAGCCCTTGTCCATGCAAGTCCTCGTTGACTTGATTGTGATTGGCCACCATCTTCCCCCGAATTAAATGCACTCTCAGTATCGCTGTATCTAGAGTGAAAGCTTCCCCAAGTACAAGTACAATGAGCGTATATTCTATTTGGGGGCATTCTATTTGGGGGAAAACGGTAGGCGCTGCACTATTCATGTAAGTGCTGAGGGGTAGCCTTACGCCACAATAAACTGACGATAGGCTGTCCCAGCTCTTAGCTCTTGGTCGTGGAAGTCCTCTTCGACCTGATTGTGATTGGCCAGGAGCTGCACTGGTCATGCGAGTGCTGAGGGGTAGGCCTTACTCCCACAACACTTCTCGGAGCCGAGATGAGTGGAGAGACTCAGAGAAGTTCCCCACTGCTCGTGATGTTGGCTTTTCGTTATGGCGACACTACCTTCATCCAACCTGATGCGGCGGCATTGCTTTACTGCCCTCTCGGTGGGGGGCTGAGCAGGCTGGCTCACTGTCCGCAGGAGCTCAAGGTCCTGGGTAAAGGGCTTGCTTGCTGATTCTTTGTTCTGCACAGTAGATGACAAAGATCGACGGCAAGGAACATAGGATCTGAATAAGTGTGACCCTGCCCCTGATCTCATCTCTTCGAAGGCTGCGACACCTGTCACAAGCATGAAGTACACTTGTGTGTGTGTGTGTGTGTGTGTGTG